ATATTTTTAACATTTTAAGCCCGTTTTTCGTGATTTTAAAGCGGGATTTTCTCCAGAAATTATATTTTAACATAATAAACCCTAAATATTCATAATTTAAACATATTTTGATGAAAATCATTATTTAAACAATAAAAATCAAATGAGTGAATTATTAAAGGTGGAGTGTTGACTTTGCCTTATCCAAAGTCACAAGCAACCACCCCACACCCACTCTATGACCAGCCATACCTCCCCACCTTACCTAGGTCACATCAATGTCCCTCACACTCAATTTACCCTCATTCCCACGTTTTTAGAGCTGGAACAAACATCCTCTCTCCTCATTTCTCTCAATTGCCCTCATTTCACTAAGTATCAAACACCACTTTTCTCTCAAACTTTTCCCACTCAACTTTCGAGATTCAAGGCTGGTTTTCAAGTGTTCTTCCACTCCTAGTAAGTAAAATTCATCCTCCTTATGATTATTTCACTTCATTCTACTCAAATCATGAATATCTTACACAAACTCCATCATATTAGCGTTAGAGCTTCGAATCTTCAAGTGATTCTTCAAGTGTTCTTGGGTTGAACACTTCTCTTCTTCAACACTTACCTACTGAAATCACTCAAGGTGAGTTCATACCCCTACCTTTTCATGTTTCCTCAAGTTTTCAGGGGGGGGGGGATACAAGTTAAAACACTAAGAACATAACTAAAATTTTCTAACAGCCATCATCAGAAAAGTTCAACTCCATTCACGGACTGTTTTGGGCATCTTAAACATTTTTGTTTTCAAAACTGTACAAGGTGCAAATAGTTCAAGTTTTTAGATTTAAAATGGCTACTTGCACATCTCCATACGATTTTTCTACAATTTATGGTGATTTTTACAAAACTGCCTATTATTTCAAACAACAATCCGGACCAGTCTGTGATTTTGGACTTTTTCACCCAAGTTAGAGGTCATTATAAATTGTGATAAAAATTATGAGCAAACTAGACACATTTTGTGAACTCTCAGAATTTACGGATCTAGTTTTCGACTTCGTATGATTTTTCTATGATTTTTCCAAAACAGGGCAGAATTGCTAAATTTTGCCAACAGCATGTAAATATCATAACACTTTGTATTGTGTTGAGCAAAGTGTATAATCATAAGTTTTAGTATTTGAATGTGTTTCCTTGCTAGTTTATCATTATGAACTGAAACTAAGACATTCATATTAAATATTATTCATTCATTTTGGAACACGTATTATTTAACCATAAAAAGTATAGTTTGAATAAATTCATAACACTAATACATTCCCATAAAAGAGTCCATTCATATTACATACATTTTAGATAAACTATAATAGGTATAGTTTATGATACATCACTCAACGCACTAGTACAAGAAGGGTACATTCATACAAGAAATATTTATATTCACACACATTTCACGTAAACTTGTTAACCTATATTGTGAGACTCTCTCTCTCTCTCTCCCCGTACGTCCGAGTGCGGGATATAATTCCTGGTAGTTATAATCAGAATCTCCTTGAGGGAGAACGTGATACTTGTATATAGATCTATATTGGGTTTGACACCCCACACCTTGCTGCTAGCTACAGTTGGACCTGCAGGTCTACGGGTGACAAATGTCATTTTATTTTTCGCGACACTGAGAACGTCGTGGCAGGTTCACATAGTCATAGTATGATTATAGCGACTCACATAGGGATATAACCACCCATAAGTTTACGGGATTTTATTTTTAAAACCTAAATGAGTTTTATGTCGATTTAAAATCACCTTTTTATCTCTATGAGTACAGATATCACTGTACACTTTTGGTTTTGGTAGTTACGACTACACATCAATTGAAACCACATTTATACTTTTAAGTATGGTCAATACTTGTTACTTCTCGGTCCACTAATTTAGGACTACATATATATAAAGTATTAACGAACATGAGAACATACGGAAATTTCATTTAATTCAAATGCGTCCATGTCCATTTAAGTGCATAATATTTTCTATTAATAAGAAAGGTTACTTATACATTTTGGTCTTCAGTCATAAGACTACATTACGCAGATTTAAAGAAAATATCGGATTTTCTGGATACATATTCTAACGTTTTTACAAGGAAAACGATTTACTTTTCCAACGAAATCTCTTATGAACTCACCAACCTTTGTGTTGACACTTTTCAAAACTACTTGTATTCTCAGGAATTCAGTGAAAACAGGAAATCAACAACGTTTTGAGGATGGGACGATAAATCGTCAAACAGTTCATTTTGTATTATAATGTAATTGATGTGAATCATGTAAACATGTGCTTTGATGTAACGTTTTCAATTATATTTGTGTTGGTTGTATTTACTTTGAACACTATTATACTCATTGTTGTGATACTCTACATGAAGTCCTCCACCTCCGGACGTTTCCGCCATCCTTGGTTTGGGGGTGTGACAGTGTTGAAATTAATTAGTTGTTATCTCTTTATCCAGTTTACGTATTTATCTGTTCCTATGTATCAGGTAGACAGCTGTTTTATTCTTCCTTAGTTATAGGAAATTTCTATGTATTTATTCAGAAACTTTAATAATTTTTGATTGATCGGTTTTGATACCAAGTACTTGATGGTATCAGAGCAGGATACCCAGATAAATTGTCAACCCTAAGTCCAGCGCCATGACCAACGAAGGAACATCAAACCCCAAGAATGAAACGATTGACAGTAGCTCACCGTATTACATCCATGCCTTCGACTCGCCAAGACAGATGCAGACCAACGATCCCCTCACCGACAACAGTTACAGTGATTGGGTTCAAGAGATGGCAAACTTCCTGTTTGCAAAGAACAAGATGGGTTTTGTAGACAGAACCATTCTGAATCCTGATGAAAAGGACAACACCAACATGCCATGGATGCGATGTGATGCCATGATAAATGGGTGGCCAACGACATCCATGGAAAAGACCATCAGAGGCAGTGTCAAATACGCCAATACCTAAGCAGAAATTTGGGCTGATCTAAAGGAATGTTTCGGTAAGGAGAGTGCTCCCCGTGCGTACGAATTGAAACAAAAGCTCACCATAACAAGACATGGTAAAAATTCTATTCCGGCCTACTATATGACACTTAGGAGCCTTTGGGATGAGATATCCTCGGTCTTAACCACACCCCGATGTACTTGTGGTCGATGCACTTGTGAAATCGGAAAACAGTTAAACGAATTTCAAGAAAAGGAACATTTATATGAGTTTCTTATGGGCCTCGAAAATGAGTTCTCAACCATTCGAACTCAAGTCCTCTCGATGAAACCAAATCCCACGCTCAGAGAGGCTTACAGGCTTGCGTCTAAAGATGAGCAACAACGATCAATTGTAGCATCCAAGGAAAGCCATGTTAAACCTGCTGCATTCCAGACTCATTCCCGGGAAAGGCGCGATAATGTTAATAAGAAAAATAATATTAGAGATAAATGTGGGCAAAAGGATTCCAGACAGGAACATTGCACCTTTTGTGATCAAGATGGTCACAAGAAAGAGGGTTGTTTCAAGATTATTGGATATCTAGATTGGTGACCTGGAAAAACGAAGAATGAGAAAGGAAAATCAAAAGTAGCACATGTCGACAGTAAAGCATCCAATATAGGAGCGTTGTCTAACAATCAGTACCAGGTTTTGTTGAAGCATCTTTCATAATCAAATGAAAAGACACAAGGTGATGTATCATGCAAAGCTAACATGGCAGGTAAGTCCAATGTGAAAAATGATAACTTGATCATTGATTCGGGCTCGACTGATCACATAGTTCACAAATGTGATATGCTTGAAAATCTATCAAAGGCCTATTCTGAAACACCCATGGTAATACCAAATGGAGAAAGCATCTCTGTTGATGCTACGGGTGATACCACCCTAAATAGTGAAACTAAAATTAGAGGGGTTTTATATATTCCCAAATTTAATTGCAATCTATTATCCATGAGTCGACCATCAAAGGAACTAAATTGCTTTGTTGGCTTTTACCCGAATTTTTGTATAATGCAGGACTTACACTCAAAGAAGTTGATTGGAGCGGGTAAATGCGTGCATGGTCTATATCGAATGAGTGTACTAAAGGATGATAGAAAAGCCATGAATTTGAAGACTCATGGAGAAGTTTGGCATTCGAGACTTGGTCATGACACTATCTCGAAACTTAGTCATATTGATTTTTTGAAAAACGTTTCCTTTAATTTTAAAGACGACGTTTTCCATGCTTGTGTGAAAGCGAAACATACTCGTTCTGTTTTTCCTAAGAGTTTTATTAAATCTAATGAATGCTTTGAACTTATTCACTGTGATGTGTGGGGCAAATATAGTATACCTTCAACAACTCATGCAAGTTTTTTCCTCACCATTGTTGATGATTATAGCCGTGCTGTTTGGGTTTATCTTATTAAACATAAGGATCAAGTAAGTGATTGTTTAATTAACTTTCACAAGATGATTGAAACTCAGTTTGGGAAGCAAATTAAAAGAATTAGGTGTGACAACGTAGGGGAGTTCACATCTAACAAAATGAAAGATTTTTATTCACGAGAAGGAATATTATTTGAAACTGCGTGCCCGTACACACCCCAACAAAATGGGGTGGTGGAACGCAAACATCGTCATTTACTCGAGACAACTCGCGCTTTAATGTTCCAAGGAAGCCTACCAAAAAATTTCTAGGGTGAATGTATCGAAGCAGCTACCTACATCATTAATAGATTGCCATATAAAGTTATACACCATAAAACTCCTTACAAAATTATTTTTGGTGAAAAACCTGATTATGAGGGAATGAGAACCATGGGATGTCTCGCCTATTACCACAGTACAGTGACAGGGGGAGACAAATTTGAACCAAAAGGAAGATCAGAAGTTTTCATTGGTTATCCTGTTGTCACCAAAGGGTAGAAAGTTTATAATGTGGAACATGGAAAGATTGTAGTCTCGTGTGATGTTCATTTTTTTGAAAAGGTTTTTCCTTATATGAAACTGAAGAAAGAGGGTTACAATCAGGATTCCTTTGAAATTCCCACATGGCATGAAGACACCGTTGAAAGTGGTTTTAGTGAAGAGGGTCTTCGGGTTGATGAGGAAACCTATTCTTCAAGCGATTTGACAGGGCAAATCTTTGAAGATGAAAGTGAAGTTCATAGCTCATTTGAAACTCACAACATAGTTACACAAGATATACTTGAAGAGGAACATATCACTAAGCCCGTTGACAACGAAGATCAACTGGCTAGACCAAAAAGAAACAGAAGTCAACCAGCATGCTTCCGTGATTTTGATGTCAAGCTGCTACCTTCGATAGACTACATGCAAACCGCCCCTGATCAGCCTTCTTCGACGATATATCCCATTGCTAACTATGTTTCATATGATGCTTTTTCTGACTCACATAAAGCTTACTTGGTAGCCATTACAAAAAATAGTGAGCCCAAAACTTTTTATCAAGCCATGAAGGATGCAAGGTGGCGAAAAGCTATGCAAAATGAGATTGAAGCCCTTGAACAAAATGATACGTGGTCTCTAGAAAACTTACCAGAAGGCAAACATGCTATTGACTCTAAATTGGTCTACAAGATTAAATATAAGCCTAATGGCGACATCGAAAGATATAAAATGCATTTAGTAGCAAAGGGTTTCACCCAATTTGAAGGTGTGGATTATCATGATACTTTTACCCCGGTTGCTAAGCTCGTGATAGTTCGTTTTTTTTAATGGTCGCTATCAAAAGGAATTGGAAGTTGCATCAATTGGATGTCAATAACGCCTTTTTACATGGCAAACTAGAAGAAGATGTTTATATGAAAATTCCACAGGGGTTTTCAAAACGGGATGACACTCGTGTTTGCAAATTGAAGAAGTCATTATATGGTTTAAAGCATGCCTCACAGACATGGTACCAAAAGTTCACTAATGCTTTAGTTGACTTTGGTTATAAGCAGTCTCGAGTTGACCATTCTCTTTTTACAATTCGAGATGGTGATTTGTTTGCAGTTGTTTCTTATTTATGTTGATGATGTTATCATCACGGGAAATCATGTTTCCAAGATTGACTCTACTAAACAACATCTCGACAAAGTCTTTAGCATCAAGGATTTGGGTCCCCTCAAATATTTCCTTGGAATTTAAGTAGCAAAAACTTCAGATGGTCTCGTCATGAGCCAACGGAAATACACTATTAACATTCTTGAAGATTGCGATCTACTTGGCAGTCGCCCTAGTACGTTTCCCATGGAACAAAACACGAAGATTGACAAATTTCTTGACAGCCCTTGAACTGATGCCAAGCAATATCGATGCATCATTGGTCGTTTGTTGTATTTACAAGCTACTAGACTCGATATCGCGTATTCTGTAAAACATTTTGAGTCAGTTTGTTTCTGACCCACGTGAGGAACACATGAAGGCAGTTACTAGAATTTTGCGCTATCTCAAGGCTACCCCTGGTCAAGAAATTTTCATTCCCAAACATGGAGACTGTCATATTGTTGCTTATTGTGATGCCGACTGGCTCGGTTGTGTTACTACATGAAGATCACGTACCAGATACATTTTACTCTTAGGTGGCTCCCCAGTATCCAGGAAGACAAAGAAGCAGTCCGTGGTCTCGCGTTCCTCCGCTGAAGCAGAATATAGGGCCATGGCAACGACTGTTAGTGAAGTCCTTTGGTTCCGATGGCTGTTGCAAGATTTCAATATTTATATAACCGATCCTACTCCTTTGTTTTGCAACAATCAAGCTGCGCGCCACATAGCCAACAATCTTGTCTTCCAACGAACAAACCACGTTGAGATGGATTGCTATTTTGTTCGCGAACGTGTGGATTCCCGTGACATTAAGCCTCTCTGCATTGAATCAAAACGCCAGATTGCCGATCTCCTTACTAAGCCCTTGGGTACTGAACGACTCCAATTCTTACTTAACAAGCTGACATTCGTGATCTTCATGCTCCAGCTTGAGGGAGAGTGTTGACATTAATTAGTTGTTATCTCTTTATCCAATTTACGTATTTATCTGTTCCTATGTATTAGGTAGACAATTGTTTTATTCTTCCTTAGTTATAGGAAATTTCTATGTATTTATTCAAAAACTTTAACAAAATTTGATTGATCGGTTTTGATACCAAGTTCTTCAAAAAGTTTGTGATATTCGAATAGAAGTCTACTATATAATTTTCAAATAATCATTAAATCAATTTAATTGTGATTGTCCTTGATTGTAGGTGTAAAAATACATATGAACTTTCACATGCTTAATTTAATCATTTGATATCTATATTCCTTTTTCAAAATTTCAATATATCCTACAAATATAATTTTATTTTGTACCAAATTTTGGATAAATTTAAAATGTGGTCCATAAAGCCAACATCATGGCGTCAAATTAGCAATTAAATGCCCTCTCACATGGGTCACACACAACACAACAAACAATTCATGATTAACCAATTGACCACTCTATTTGTATCTTTTTCCCCACTTGTAAAAGCCAATACACATGCGTATAAATATTTAGAACCAAAATAACTGCTAATTAAACCAAAAGGTCCAAAACAATGCATAACTAGGTGGTAGGTTTACTTTGGTCAACTAACTTATATAAATTAATTTAATTCTTAAACTTTTTTAAACTGTGGCAAGGTAAATGTAGTTTTTCAAAAAGTTAGACTACTTTTTTTTTAAAAACTTTTTAAAAATATTTCAAATATACTTTAATTAATTATCGAAAACTTATTATCTTAACATATTTGTGTTTTTTCTTCTATATCTCAACTAACTTACAATCTAGTTTATCAAATGTCATTTTATGAGTTAAATTTTCAGTTAACAACAAACTTTTCGGTTAACAACTAATTTTTAACTGCTATTCAAAACATAACCAAAGTCTAAAAGTATGTCAACTGTGCATATTACAAACGTTTGTTCAATTTCGTATCTTTCATTAACAATTCATGGTATTTTAAAGACAAAAAGGTAATGTGATTATAAAAAGGGAGAACGTTTTTGTCAACTATGTCACGGAATCCGTGAACCTAAAAACAAATAAAAATCCACCGCATTTGCACTATCAACAGTGCTGCAAAAAGATAAGATAGTTGCCAAAAACCTAAGCAAGATCAAACCATATAATAAAACCAAAATCTATTTCTTTAAACTTTTACCCATAAAATATTGCAACAATCATGCTAATGATTTAATCCTTTAAAAAAACTAAATAAAAACTATAAATAAAAAAATATATTTCCCATTTCTATTCCCTTCCCACCTTCCATATGACACCAAAACAAGAACCATTAGTCCATTACACAAAAATATTCTGTTACTCGTATCAATCAAAAGAAGTCTTTTCGATTTCACATTCTGTCATTCTCCAATCTCCACCTTTTATCTACCTTTTTCTCTAAACTTTCTATCTCCATTTTCATGGCAAGTCTTGAGGATATTGGGGTTTCTGCACTGATAAACCTCATCGGCGTTTTCGCATTCCTTTTAGCTTTTGCTTTTCTCAGACTTCAACCCGTTAATGACAGAGTTTACTTCCCAAAATGGTACATCAATGGAGCTAGGAGTAGTCCTAGACACAGGGGGAACTTCGTTGGCAAATTTGTCAATCTCAATTTCGCTACTTACCTTACTTTCCTTAATTGGATGCCTCAAGCTATGAAGATGACGGAATCTGAGATCATTGAACATGCTGGACTTGATTCTGCTGTTTTCTTGAGGATTTACATTCTTGGGTACTTCTAACTATCCTTTTCTTCACATGGGGTTTCGTTTATTTCCACAATAAATCACAATTGCGCAATTTCTGTGGAGAAACTTATCGAAAGTCCGGGCTTTTAATGTCGGTTTCTTGAAAATTTACATGGGTTTTCGTTCAACGTGTCAAATTGTTCATAATTTTAGCTCAATTAGTCTTATACTCTTGCTAGTTGTGAATTATTTGAGAAAGATTGTGAGAATCGGGGTTTTTACTGTTCTTTAAGTTATCACAATTCGACAACCCCTGTTCAAAAAAGATTGTGAAATTTGGGATTATCTTATCTACCTTATCTTTTTCTCTAATGGGTTTTTGTTAATATGGTAGAATCTGTCATAATTTGAGCTTCAATAGTAAAATATTCGACTTTATTGTGAATCGATTGAGAAAGCTTATTGATTTCTGTGTATATATATACCCATAACCATTATTGGTAGTTTTTTATGCTTTTTAATTTTGGTCAACAAGATTATCTTACTTCGTGAAAAGGGTATTTACGACATTTGATTAGTAGTTAAACAACAGGATAAATAATTAATCTTTAACATCATCCGATTGTACTATTGTAATTGACAGATTAAAGATTTTTGGACCAATCACGATTGTCGCACTCTTGATTCTTGTTCCAGTCAACGTATCGGGTGGGACTTTATTTTTCCTCAGCAAAGAATTAGTAGTCAGTAACATCGACAAGCTTTCAATATCAAATATTCAACCGAAATCTCTCAAGTAAGTTTAAATTCTTGACGAGTTATATTTTTATACATAAAATTCAACACTAGAAATTAATATCACTCAAACAACGCGTTTCAGTTATATTAATGTCTCGTAGGTTATATTTTCTATTTTCAGATTTTTTGCACACATTTCAATGATGTATTTATTTACATCATGGATATGCTACATGCTCTATAAGGAATATGATATGGTAGCTTCAATGAGACTAAAGTTTTTGGCTTCGAAAAGTAGGCGAGCTGAACAATTTACAGTAAGCTGAAAATGTCTTTTTTTTTTTTTTTTTTTTTTTTTTTTTTTTTTTTTTTTTTTGTATTAAAGATTTTAAATTTCTTTTTGTAGGTTTTAGCGAGGAATGTGCCACATGTGTCGGGGCGTTCTGTTTCCGATTGTGTTGACAGTTTCTTTAAAAAGAACCATCCGGATCACTATCTGTCTCACCAGGTAAAAAGGGTATTCATATCTTTTGCACATAAAGGAAATCGAAAAGGAGTCTTATCCCCACCTTTTTTGATAGGACAAAAAGTTGCACTTTTTGTCTTATTGACATACGTCTCGGTAAATCAGTATCAGAGTCCAAATGCCAGCAGTACAAGGTCATTATGTTTTTTTGTAACAACGGGGGTTTAGTGTCGTTGGACATTTTTTTTTTGTTAATTTTTCTTAATTAGTATGATGAATATTTGTTATGTAAGTATTAAACCAAAACTATTGTAATTTTAGGTTGTTTACAATGCAAACAAGTTTGGAAGACTTGTTAGGAGAAGACATCGATTGCAAAATTGGTTAGACTATAATCAACTTAAATATGAAAGACACCCTGAAAAACGACCGACTATAAAGGTAGCTACTCTAAATTTTCAAATTTGAAACCTATTTGAGCTTCTTAAATTTGCTTTAAATTCTAAAAATACTAACTTTAATTTTCTTTTTGATCATTAGACGGGTTTCCTTGGACTTTGGGGTAAGAAGGTAGATTCCGTTGAATACTACAAACAACAAATTAAAGAGTTTGATGAAAGAGTAAGTGGTTTATCATTATTAAAACTTTCTACTTTTTCCCTTATGAATATATCTATTTCGTTTGTTCTAGAAACATCCAGAATATACTTTTGACTTTGTAGGCTACGGTTGTTACACAAAACATGATTGGAAGGGATGAGACTCAGACAAACATTCTAGGGATAGTTTTGACTTTTGATGATGAGATATGAAGGGTATTCACGTCTTTTTTGTACAAACGAAAGATCCAGAGCAAGTCCTTGTCCGACCTTTTCGATTGAGATAAAAATTGCAATTTTATCTCACTTCACCGTCACTATCAGGCTGTCACTGTCCCTTTCACTTGTCACTTGTCACTGTCAGTCTGTCATTGTCACTGTCACTGTCATTGTCACTGTCACTGTCACTGTCACTGTCACTGTCAGTTTGTCAGTATCACTATCGCTATCATTATCACTGTCATGTTTTACTTGTCACTATCACTACTATTGTCATTCTGTCACTGTCCGTCTGTCTGTCACTATCACTGTCACTGTCACTGTCACTGTCACTGTCACTGTCACTGTCACTGTCACTGCATAACAAACAGGGCCGTAAGGTCAAACATGCCAAATTCCAGTTCCAAACTTTGATCGAATTCACATCTTTTCTTTTCTTGTTGAATTTATTACTTGTTATTAAAATGATAGTTGACAACGGAGCGACAAAAAGTCCTAAAAGATCCAAAATGCATAATGCCAGCTGCATTTGTATCATTCAACACTCGATGGGGGGCAGCAGTATGTGCACAAACACATCAAAGCAAAAACCCGACTCTATGGTTAACAAAGTGGGCCCCAGAACCTCGTGATGTTTATTGGAAAAATCTTGCTATACCCCTTGTTTCCTTAAGCATCCGTAAACTTGTTATATCATTATTACTCTTTGCTCTTGTATTCTTCTACTTGATTCCCATTGCTTTCGTTCAATCTCTTGCCAATCTTGAAGGTCTTGAAAGAGTTGCTCCTTTCCTCAAGCCTGTAGTTGAATTGTAAGTAAATCCTTCATCTTTAAGTCAAGTTTATACTTTTATTAAATGACTAAATTCAAGTAATAGTAATTTACTTTTATACTTTTTCTTAAAATCGATAGATTTTATCAATATATATAATGCTCTAATAGGATGAAATGAATTTGGATTCTATAATAAACAAATATATGAAAAGAACATTGTTATTTCTTGCATTGAATTCAGTTCAAAAATGATATTGGGTTATAATTGTTGTAAATTTTTTTGAATTTTCAGGAGTTTCGTCAAATCTTTCCTCCAGGGTTTTCTCCCTGGTTTTGCTCTCAAGTTTTTCCTTTACATTCTTCCTTCTGTTCTTATGGTTATGTCAAAAATTGAAGGACATGTGGCATTTTCAGTTTTGGAAAGAAGAACAGCTGCAAAATATTACTATTTCATGCTTGTGAATGTCTTTTTGGGAAGTATTGTAGCAGGAACAGCTTTTGAACAGCTTGATTCTTTCCTTCACCAATCCCCTACAGAGTAAACTTTCCTTTCCAAAATGTATTAAAAGTAGAGTAAATTCCAATTTCATCCCCATACTTCATGAAAATTTATCGTTTCAGTCTAGATGTTATACTTTTTTGCATTAGTAGTCCCTAAAGCATAGTCTTTTTCCAGTTTTAGTCCCCAAAATATGGTGATATGACCCCTGCTTGTAGGGGGCGTAGTCTATAAATTTTTTTTATAAGGAAAGGACCAGTTTTGTAACTTTTTAAACACATGGACCGTTTTTGTAAAGAAAAATCTTCACAGAGACGTATTCTGTAAATTATAGTCACAGTTTTTGTAATTTATTTTCTACGCAGGGATCAAACCTGCCAACATACGAAAGTTTTGAACACATGAACTGTTTCTTAAAAAAACCTCACAGGACCTATTTTGTAAACTACAGGGACAGTTTTTTGAAATTTATTTTCTACACAGGGACCAAACCTGTCAACATACGAAAGTTTTAAACACATCGATTATTTCTGTAAAAAAAAATCTTCACATGGACCGTTTCTGTAAATTACAGTGACAGTTTTTGTAATTTATTTTCTACATAGGGACCAAACCTGCCGACAAACGAAAATGTTATGACCAAAGTCTCAAACCCAAAGAGTATACTATTCATTTCCCAATTGTAATTAATAATGTAGGGGAATACCATCTCATTTAGCGCCCACATAACACATGTAATGAAATGTACACTAAATCAAACATCTGGACTGAAACCGTAACTTTTGATTAACCACATGGACGAAAAGTGTAACTTAGTTTTGAAATTATATGTCAAAAGTTAACTCGACTCATTTTCATTGATTTTAATACAGGATTCCGAGGACTATAGGGGTGTCAATTCCAATGAAGGCTACTTTCTTTATTACATATATAATGGTTGATGGGTGGGCTGGAATTGCAGCAGAGATTCTTCGGTTAAAACCGTTGGTCATTTATCACTTAAAGAACATGTTCATTGTAAAAACCGAACGCGATAGAGAAAAAGCAATGGATCCTGGGAGTGTAGATTTCCCTGAAACTATCCCTTCTCTTCAGTTATACTTCCTTATGGGAATCGTATATGCTGTCATTACTCCAATCCTTCTTCCTTTCATTCTCGTGTTTTTCGCCTTTGCATACTTCGTTTATCGCCACCAGGTATTTTTTATCGCCTTTTATTCTTGTTTTTGTAATAAAAAAAGGGCAATTTTTATACTTATTTGTATACCCTGATGTGACTATTTATGTGAGTGGAGGGGGTATTTATAGCGTAACCCTAAAAATATTATCGGCTGTTTGATAGTTGCTGACTGGTCAGATCTAGGAGTGTAATTACTTGAGACCGACTCGGGTCAAGTCGAGCTCGAGCTACTCGAGTATATTATCGAACGGAGCTTGAGTATTGAAATACTCGGCTTGTGAAGCTCGTGAGCTTAATTGAGCATTGTTATATCTACAACACATTTACCATCTGTTTTATTCATATTTACATATTATAGAACCGAGTTGAGTTGAGCTC